AACGTTCCTACACACTCGAACAAGGGAGGTGTACAGAGAGAGAGAGAGAGAGAGAGAGAGAGAGAGAGAGAGAGAGAGAGAGAGGTTTGTTGAGCTTTGCGTGTTATTGTTTGTATGTGTGTAGATGTGACAGTCAGGTAGAACAATCCCTGTTGAAGTTGACTGTGAGGTCGGCGGCCATCCATACCGCAGGATGTGAGGGCGAATCATGGTTATTTTTTTGGGTGGAGTATCTCTTCCAAGTATTATGTGGAGTCCTGTTTCAACTAAGGAAGGAATGCACTACGCATGACTGAGTGTCTTCTTTCTTCGCAATGGGGAGGGTAAGTGAGGGTTAAGTTTTCTTTCTCCATGCATGTTTGTTCAATTCAAGTTGTTGGCTTGTATTTTCCTGGCCTGACATGTTTCCGTTGTTTCTTGTTTACTCAAATTAATGAATAATGAATAATGAATTAATGAATGAATGAATTAATGAATGAATTAATGAACGCACAAGGTCTTCCAATATCTACGCTCAGAGCAGATCCAGCACAGTGGACATGGCGCGGAAAAGGCAGAAATAAGACAGACTGTCTCCTCACGGAGTACACCCCGGAGGTGGGACACAAGATGCAAGAGGCGGCAAAGAACCCCCAAGCTATGGCAACAGACAGATGGCTGCGGGTAACTCAAATGGAGCCAGAAGAAAACATCAGAGCACTGACACGCTGTTGGGCACAATTGACCCTCATGCCATCACAGCGCCTGGCTGCCATCCTGTGGCTACTCTCCGTTTTAGCAACCCCATCAACAGTGTGGCTGGCAAACCGAGGACTGAGGATAGACACAACATGCGCCAGATGTGAATGGGCATATGAATCCACAATACACTTGTGGTGGGACTGCCCAGCGTCTGCCCGTATATGGAAGTGGTGGCCTGCAGTGGGACCGACAGTGGGTGCTGCTGGGAGGTGCTCCGGACGGACTATCGTTAGAACGAGGGTGGGGCTATGTTGCACAAGTCTTACGATCAACCCTGATCTGGGTCATATGGCAAGGAAGGAACAAGATAGTTTTCAAAGGAGAGGAGATGACAGATCTGGAAATGAAACACACTCTGAAGGCTACAATACGCCGCACCATCGAGGCAGACTGGAGACGTAGAGTAAGTAGGAATCAGTCAAAAATCCAGGGCAGAACCTGGTTCATGCAAACTTGGGCTTTGGGAGAAAACTTGGTAAAAATTGGAAATGGGGAAAGATTGCAGTTTTCTACCTGGCTAACTAGCTAGAACAACCAGGGCACTCGGTTGCTACATCCGCAGTAGGAGGCAAGAGGGACTGAAAGGGAAGGAGAGTGCCGCGGTGGGTAAGGATCCGTAGTGATCGGCTCCGTCGATACTTAGACGGAGGTAGTAGTATATAGGCTAGAAGGAATAGAATAGGGTTTGTACTTAGAATAGGACCTTGCTTGCTTATTTGTTATAGGATCGGGCAGTAGAATTTGTTTCTTACTTGGCAAGATGTTGGTGAGATACCAAGTGTTGTTGGGGTAAGGCCCACGATCAGAAACTGGCTTTAATTTCCCAGTACCGAACAAGTTTCATTTCCGGGTTGTTTGTGAGGAATTCCCGGCCTCATGTTTTCACGATAATGGATTTCCTTGCTTTTTCCCAAAAATAAAATAAAATAAAATAAAAATTAATGAATGAACGAATTAATGAATTCGTTTATCTATTTACAAATCTCAACCAATGATCTATCAGTGGTGGTCAAGGGAAATGTTAGGCGGTCCCCCTGACGAGGCCATTTTCCAGGGAGGGCCGAGATGTGCATGGGGAACGCTCTTTGTCGTACGTGCTGTTCGTGCTTGCATTCCAAAAAAGAACAACAACAACAACTGTTGGATTATTATTCTGTTCATTGGAACAATTCTGATTTGAATTGTGTTCTCGCTGCATGTACTGGTATGAATGATGATTGGTCATACAGTTGATACGAATTGCGCGATCTAACCCCTCTGGCATTCGTCACGTTTGTGGTTCCGTAAGTCCTTTCCTTTAGCATACACTCACTGTATGGGCTTCCATAGCATAGCACACAAGGACTTCCTGGCATACTACATACCATACTACATAGCATATTACATGGCATACTACATAGCGTACTACATAGCATACTGGCATACTACAACCACATAGCATGCTACATAGCATACTACATAGCGTACTACATAGCATACTGGCATACTACAACCACATAGCATGCTACATAGCATACTACATAGCATAGTAGCATACGACATAGCATACTACATAGCATACTACATAGCATTCTACATAGCATATCACACAAGAACTTCCTGGCATACTACATAGCATACTGCATAGCATACTACATAGCGTACTACAGAGCATACTCGCATACTACAACTACATAGCATACGACATAGCATACGACACATCATACTACATAGCATACTACATAGCATACTACATAACATACTAGATAACATACTACATAGCATAGTAGCATACTACATGGCATACTACATGGCATACTACATAGCTGTGGCATACTGCGTAGCCACACGGGCCCTACAGGGCCCGTCCCAGACAGTCAACCTAAAAGCCTAAAACTTAGGGCTTACAGGCCCCGGAGACATTTCAGCCTGACAACCGAATTCAGGCCCTACAGGCCCTAAAACGGTTGCCAGACTGAAGCCTAAAACTTAGGGCTTACAGGCCCCGGAGACATTTCAGCCTGACAACCGAGTTCAGGCCCTACAGGCCCTAAAACGGTTGCCAGACTGAAA